ATCATCATCATACAGCGACATACAGTGAAGCGAGCTTCACTGATCGCTGCCGGACTCACAATGTACACAAATCAAGTGATAAAGCACAAGATGAAGAGGGATTGGGCCTGATTTGAGGAAGGCAAAGAAAAAGAACCTCTGTGTTCAACACACAGAGTACACAATCTAAGTGTTTATGCATACCTTTTCAAGCATTCTGACTTGTTAAGAAATGATAACAAGAATGCCACTGCTGTCGGTTAGTCGCCATATCATTTAATGCCTCCAGCAAGCTAGTTTGAAAGTCCATTAACCATGCACTTTCATGCGTTGGTTTCGGTTGCTGTCTTTCGGCTGTCAATTTGGATGAGCAGTAGGAAAAACACAGGAAAGTTGAAAGTAGAGTCGAAGAGAAAATGAAGAATTCCAGTGGCCTAATGCTGCAAAGAAATTGCCAAAATTCTCGAATGCCACTGTTTGCGACACTCAGCGTCTCTAACCACCGGTTGCGATCATCTCGAGGTCCCCATCCAGGGAGCCTAATGGGACCTATGTGACCGAGTCTACTGGTTAGCGTCATTCAATCCAGGAAGTAAAACATGTTTGGAACGAGCAACACAAATCATTACTGCACCTCACAGTGACGTGTGCTTGTTTCGAATTTGCACGAAGTGTGTTCACACGAAGTAACTGATGATGTTTAGTTAAAATTTCGCTTCAACAGACATCTTTCTCTACACTTCCGACCCTTTTAAATTTTATTCGGCAGAGTGTCTCTCGTCTTCCGGACTGAGGTCCAAAAGACTCCGTAATTTGATGGTTGGAGACAGTGAAGGCTATGGCTGCAAACCGACAGCAATGGCGATCTTGCTGTCACTTCTTATCAGACCAGAATGCATGAAATAGTATGTATGCACAGTTGGACTGTGTACTTTGTGTGTTGACTACGGAGGTTCACTTTCTTTTCCCGTCCCTAAAAGTAAGTCCCAGTCCTATCCTCCCTACCTTGTACGCAATATGAATTTGGAAACGATTAGTTCACTTCACCGTATCACGCTATGCAATGATGATGATGAACCCCAGGCTTTTGTTTGACGGTGTACTTTTAGCTAATGATTAACTAAATGGGTAACTGAAAAATAGAAACTAAAAGTGGAGCCTAGAAGCGAAGGTTTACCGAGAGTACAAATTAAAGAAAACTGATAAACAGTACCGTGATAATAGCAGGTTGAATGGGTAAGGTAAGTCCGCAAATGAAACATGTTTACTAGATAGTATGGATCTGAAATGAATCTGGATGACGAAAAACACACTATTGAATGAGAAAAATGAATTTCCTAAGTGAAGAAAAACATGAACCCCAGTCGTCAAGTGCTACTTGAACTCACCCACGTCAGCAATCTTGTTTTTTTGTTCGCACTGGGAATCATTTTCATCCACGTCCGTTGATTTGAGCTGTTTATCTTGGACCTCGGGAGTTATGTCTGACTGAACTTTGGATACACTGTCTTCCCCTAGGTGTTCCTCGTCGCGAACCACCGTAAGTAACCGATCCGAGGCGGCTGGTTCCACGGAAGAGATCGAAGAGCCGGAGTATACTGGTGGTATCGCTGATGCTAGGACACCATTACCACCCCCATCAGCTATCGCTGTAGAACTTAGAGAGTTGCGAATTGCACTTCGGTTAGTTTCGTTAAGCTCAGTCACCTCTGTTATTGTCTGCATTGTCCCGCGAACTTCCCCGCGAGGATGAGTGTCAGCAGATGTTGCAACCGGAATAGTTTTTCCCACGCATCTGTTTTGATGACGCGAGGCAGCTAAGTGCGCCGACAAGATGCGCGGACCAAGAGTCACCATAGAGGCTAATCGTCGAGTCTCCGGGTATAGTACCGGAAGTAATCGGTACTGATACGCTTGTAGTTTGCTATAAACAACTGGGTCCATAAAAGCAGCCGAAGGGGCTTGATTGTACACATGAATCAATGAGGCAGAATAGTCCGTTAGATCTAAAGTAAAATGAAACACGGGGTAGGCATGTTAGTGATAGAAAGTACAGAGTAACAAATACGCT